AGAGAAAGAATAATGGTTGCCATTATTAATTAACATCATCACATCCCATGCTGGTCCACAACATCCATAAAGCAGACAGGGCCCACAGGAACCTTTCTCCCACTAATGCTGCTTTCCAAAAGGAATTTAGAAGAGCACAGATATCTGGAGCAAAATATACACACACCTAACAACAGCGCTGCCCACAAAGAGTCAATAAGAGTGGCTGTGCATCTCAGCACTTCAAAGATAGAGAAAAATAAATGAAATAAATGCTATAAGTAACATATTAAAAAGAATAAACATAACTTGTTCTAATGAGTAAGATAACTAGCTCCTCAAATAGACTAACAAGTTGATGTACGTGCACACTATCACTGAGGAAGATGGGTTTGAAATGAGGAGAGCTTTCACAGCATTTTGGAAAGTGAGATGCTGAGGACTTCCACGCACAGTCTCAGTCCTGATACTATAAACAGAGCTTTACTTTCTCATGAAAAATATCAGTGGACTCCCTATCGATGAAGAGGAAAATCACAGGTCTGTTATCTCAGCCAAAAGATTGCACTTCCTACAGCCTAGTTTCTCCTGGCACTAGGATGTGCCATTGGGTTCAGCAAGGGAAAGTGCCAAATCTTGAATCATCAGGACTTCCTGTTCACTCCGCAATGACTCAGAAGATATCTTTCTAACTTCTACCCGCTTCTTGCTTCCCTTTTCACCATGCTGCTCATATTAGGTAAGGGTAGTCAGGCAGAAAATATTACACAGCCTGATTTCTGTTACCTGGTGTGTCAAACTAAAGCTCCCTTTTGGTTTCCTTTTTTCACTTGCTTGTGCTAGTAGGCAAAACATTTATTGGCAACTCTGCAACACATCTATGAGATTCATCATTGCAAGATAATTTCTGGTACAAATTCTTTCCTGGGCAAAAGACTGACATGTCTGGACTAGGTCTGGACTAGATCTTACCTGACATTTCTCAGCAAATTTTGTTGTTAGTTTTTTAATTGAAAAAAATTTACTGGAAATTAACCTCTTTGTGGAAACTTATCAGGGCTGACAGACCAGAAAAAGAGTCAAGGTTAGGTTTGCAAGAAGGATGTGGGAGACCCAGATTCATAGTCTGCATCAAATGGACCAGAGAGACTGATTCATTACACTGCTGTGATTCCTCTGACAGGATGAGGCCTGTGCTCAAATCACTTACCTAATGAGCACTGAATCCTTACACAACATGAAATAGCTCCTTGGTAAGAGGGAGAGCACCTCCACATAGAAACTTTCAGGATGGGGAAAATGTCTGGGACACTAAATACTGAGTGTCCCAGTCTCAGATCTCAGTCCCTGCTTCAATCAAAGCAAATATTTAAGCAGGTCTCACTTACAGCATCTTCAAAATACTTTGTGTCACACTGCCTATGGTGCTCTGGGTGGCCACTGCAGTGACCTGTGCCTGGCAGATCTGACCTGAAGCACTGCTTATGTGTCCTTTCACTCAGGGGGATCGGTGAGGACAGCTGAGCCACTCCCAAAGCACAGATCCAGTTGTTAAAGAGCTGAAGCAAAGCACTGAAACCCTACAGGGTAGTAAATGGTGACCACAGGCGATACTAAAAACTGTCAGGGAAGCCAGCTGATGAGCCACCTCATTGCTGAGAAAAGAGCGGGACCTAAATCTCCTACAAAGTTTCCACCAGCACCCCAAAAAGCAGATGGGATTTCAGGCGCTTTAGGCTGCCCACTGGAGGCCCTTCTCCTCACAGGCCACGGACAGTTCCTGTAGGCAGCACCCAGTGACCCTAAGCAAGTATTTTACCTCAATGTCCCCACAGACCCCATTGCCTAAGCTGGTAAGAAGCTGTCATCTCCAGGAAAACTGAAAAACAAGATAGACTGGAGCAAATAAAAGCCACACTGCACACCCACTCGTCTCCAGGAGAAATCACATGGTCAACAAGACACATCCTGGTCGTTCAGTCCTCAGTGTCTCAACACTCCTTATCGGGAATGTGCCCCCACCACCAACCACACTCGGATACCACCAACAATAATCTTGACTCCCAGTCAGCTGCAACAGCCCAACAGGCCAAGACCTAAACAATAATCCCCTGGCATATACCAAACTGTAGGAAGGATGCAGTGACTACAAAGCTCAGACCTTGTGTCTTTTTTCTCTACCAACCTACATCGGATGGTGTAAGAGGCCACCTCTGGAGCTGGACAACAGCTGTGGGTTAGTTTTGCACAAGAGGACCTCTCTCTGCTCTCTGCAGGGCCACAGAACCTCTGCCTGCCTGCAGCTGCCCTGCGGTCAGGCACACATTTGCCATTGTGTGGGAAACTTGGCTATCAGGAGAGCTTTGAAAGCTACTCCCAGCTACTCTGTGGTAAAGCTGCTTTCTGGAGGAAGGAATTCCTCATTGCCAGCTGGTTGCCATAGGCTAAGGAGGGCTGTACCTTCCGGTGCTCCTCCTGCTCTTTCTCCCTACTCCTGGGTGCTAGTCTTCGCCCAGCCAGAATGCAATCTCTTGCTGCTTCGCTTCAGGCGCAGCAGCTGCTGGGCTGCAGGACCAGCCCTCCTGAGTGCAGAAAGGCTCTGTGCAAGTCAGGTACCCCTGGCTCTGCCCTCCCCATCCTGCTCCAAAAGCCCTGTTGGTAGAGTGCCTCCTGGCTCCTAAGAAAGCATCCCCTCAGGAGCTGTTCCTAATTGGTGGTTTCCTCCTCTTTCTCTTATGGTGCTGAGTTTTGCTTCCTAGCTCACATTTTATAAGACTGCTTTTTAGTAGGCTGTGCAGACTGCCAGACCTGAGTCTACCTTCAAACTACTGGGAAAAAACATCCTGTCTGCAAATCAGAGGATAGACGGGGTTTTGTGTCTGGATGCAGGCTGGGCCAGTGGGCCCATCCAGAGGCCAGTAAGAACTCTAAGCTTTGAGATTTCATACCTTCAACAATCTGAGTGGTGTCCAAGTATCACAGTGATGGGCGCTGCAGCCCAAAGAAGACAACCTGGGGCTGTTTTTCAACGTGCATTCCTGAGATCAGCTAACCCATGGCATAGTGTATGTGGTAGGTGTGAAGGGCAGCCTGAATATTACTCTCCCATAATTACTATATCCTTCTTCTCCAGGGATCACCAGCTAGAATAGGGAATAGATGAACCTGAAAACAGCACTGTCTGAAATGCAGACAGATTTTATTGCTGTACACCCCAGCTGTTGAGGAAGGAGTGACTACACACAGATAATTTGCCAGGACATGACAAACACACAGGAGGAGCCTTCTGCTCCATTCAGTAGGCCAGGCATAGAAGACAGAGGCTGGCAGATGCAGCATGATCCCTCCAACTGCCTTGGTCATTTCCATCTCTGTCCTTCCCCTACAAACCTGCCTGGTCTCCCTTGAGAGCCAGGACACTGCTGTCTCCAAGGCTCCTTTGGCCCTTTCCTGCTACATGGGGACTTGAAGGGTGGTCTGGGCAGCAGAGTTGATATACTGAAGCTGAAAACCCATCACACAACAGAGGCAATTTGGCCTACCAGCATCTTTCTCTTTGCCTGGAGAGCAAGTCCTGGCTCTGGCAGGGCTGTCACAGCAGCAGGGCCTGTGGCGAGCTGCCACTTGTCTGAATAGCCAAAGTCCATGCTCAGGGAGCAGGCAGGGATGGAGGAACATAGCTGTGGTTGATCAAAGCCACAAGCTATTCTCCAGGAGGAAGCCCAGGCTGAACTCTGCAGTTCCAGTCCCTGGAGGCAGACTGCCAAAAACAATAAGCCAAAAAAGCCACACACAAGCAGAGACAAAATCTTCCTTCCTCCTTCCATTAGATCATCTCCTTTGCCAGCTGCTCAGCTCCTCACCTACAAATCCCCACCAGCTCCTGCGTCTGAGCAAATATGCAAGTTATCAAACCTCACCTGCCTCTTTGCTCAGATCCAAACTGGGGAGTCATCACCCCTACTTGCACCCACTTCTCACCCTCATCGCAGTCCATTGCTGCTTGGAAAGTTTTCTCCTCTCCAAGGAGCCCACACACAGTGTGACTACTGAACTCCACACGTGGCTGGCAAGTCATGAGGGGATGTTTGTGCTCCCAATCCAATTTGCAGAAGCAACCAACATACCGTGAATTGTAAGTGTCAGATATCACAGGCACATCTCCAGCTGGATTTTCCATTCAGAGGGGAGGTATTGGTTCCAGAAATTGCAGCAAGTGCCTCCCAAGTGTAAGAAAAAAGAGTGACTGTCAGAGAAGGGTCAGGGCTTGATCCCCTGCCTCTATCCTTCCTCCTTGCTCACTTGTGAGCTGAGGATGGGTTGCTTGAAGTGCACCACCTATCCCTGCCTGCCAGTGAATATTCAGGCAGTCTATCTCGCATCTCTGAGCCTTTGATCCTATTTGCCTACAAATCTCCTTGGAGATAAGGGCAAAGGAGGGAGACCAGAGACAGGATTGTTTCTAGAGAGAATAGTGTACCTTCTGCTTTCCCATGGAGAATCAGGAGTGCTGCATTCCTTTCAAGCCACTGGCCTTGTTGTGCTGCAGGGATGAGCCCCACCACGAAGCCTGGGCCCAAGGTCACAGAGAAAGAGCTCTCAACTCAACCCTGTGAACGGCAGAGCAGGGTTCATTTAGGTGTTTAATTAGGAATTATTGCTAATCATTGTATGCACTACAGCAGAACAGACAGGTTCCAGTGGAAATCATGAGTTGCAGACACAAACATACATACACAGAAGCTCACTCTTGCCACAGACCTTATAGTCTAAAGAGGAGCAGATGTTGATGCAAAACGTCACAGCAGGAAACAGACCAGACACCGTCTCAGTTCAACCTGAGTGCTCAGGTAACACTCAGCTGTCAGGTAACATGTGTAGGGAGAGAAAAACACTGGGGAGAAGCAGGGTCTGTAAAGGCAAGCAGATGAAGTACATGGGAGACTCACTGGCACAAATCCCTAGCACCATCTATTCTTGCAACCACAAGACATCCTGATGAAAATACTCACAGAGAGAAAGACTTGCTGCTGTCCTTGGACACACAAGGGTGAACAGATATTCAATCAGATGAAGAAGTGACTGGTCCAAACTTCATCAAAGTAACTAATCTCTTTCACTCATCTGTAATTGGATTAAGCTGTCCCGAACACAAGAAGCTGCAGAAGCCAAGAATTAAGCAAACAATTTTCTAAAAAGATTGGACAATGATGTGGATGAGAAGAAACGAAAAAGCATAACAATGATCACTAACAACGCTTTCGGAAAAGATGCTAAAATTTATATTCCTGGTCCCAATCCCATCTCTAATAGATAGGAACCAGAAAGTGATGGTAAGTGTTGAACAGATTATGTTACATCTGCCTGCTGCAAGGTTCTTGCACCTTCCCCTAAAGCATCTGGCAAAGGCATCAGAGAAAGCATCAGATAATCAGAGACAGGATCCGGGAATAAATGGATTTTAGGGCTCACCCAGTTTTACCATTTCAAGGTTCCAGTGTTTCCAGGATCAAGATTGCAATCTCCATATTTGTGTATACAAAGTCCTTGCTGACATCAGTGAAGTGAAGCCATTTGAAGTAGCACTGCCAGTGTTTGTGACGGGTTGTGGATCTCATTATACTGGTCCTGTTTTTCCTTGAAGCTCCAGAACCTGATGACAGATGATTAGGTGAGAAAAGTGTTATCTGCATAAGGCAAGTTTCTAGTCCTCTTGTGTGTGGGAAAAACCAAAAATTGTGATACTAATGCAACATGTTTTCTTCACTGCAGGGAAAAACTACAAAAAGCTATTTGAAGGCAACTCTAACGCTCAGAGGCAAAGAGAGAAAATGCAGTATTTATTCTTTTACAAAAACCCATGATTCTGGAGTTATCACAAATTTTTGTGGTCCAGCTTAAAATGTCTGAAACCTTGGGGCTTAGAATACTGAATTTAAGGCAATGTGAACTCCTTTGAGCTCCCTCATGTCTCAGTTCTTGATAGCTTCTCTCAGATGCAAGGCTTCTGTTCAGCAGCTCTTCAGAAGCCCTCCTCTGAGGGTCTGCCTCCCCCCATGCTGCTGACTTCCTAGATTTCATCAGACATCCCATTTGAGTCACCGTTTTTTGTAAAGCTCCAGCTCCCAGACTCACTCAATTACGTGAAAACTTACATCATATAAGGGAAAGTTCCTACTCTTCACAGCTGCCAGGAAAAGCTAGCAACGGAACCTGACTGTAACCTTAAAGCCCAATATTGAAGGCCTGAGAAAAACACTAGTATCTTCTTACACTACTGTGTAAGATGTTTATGATTTGAGAGATTCAGGTCTTGGATTGTGTATCTGAAGTCCTTTTGCCAGCTACATTGCTCTCCCCACCCCTTGATTTTGAATGGGTCTCTCTTGCCTCCAGCCTGCTGCTTTGCCCTCCTAAATTTACACCGCTGCTTCCTAAAAAGGCTAAAAGACTAAAAAGTGCTCCACAGCAGTATGGATTCTGAATAAAAAAGGAGATTGATGTTCCCTTGAACACCAAAACTCAGTCCAGCTCAGGCACTAGTGGCATATCCTTAGCATGGTCCTGAGCTTTGTCCCAGCAAATGTCACCACCATATTTGCCTCCCACCCTCTAGCTGAGCTCTGAGTCTCTCTCCCTTGTCTCAGGGCATAGCATCCCTTGGTGCCAGGGAGCGAAAACAGCTTTCCTCTTACTCCTCCCTTTCCTCCCTGGCTCCCTTGTCAGGTGGTAGCCAGAAGCTGGTAAAGGTTACAACCAGTTTCCCAGTGCTGCTGTAATTTTGGCTCTATAGCACAGCACCCTGTTGAGGCTGGGCTTTTAGAGCCCCAAAGGCTTTCCGACTGAAGATGTAGGGAGTTGGCCCTGAGGGTTAGGGCGTTCACAATTTGCATAGGAAGCAAGTTAGTGCTCAAACTCGGGCTCTGACCCAAGTTTAGCATACAATGTGAACGTGCCCACGTACTACAGTCTTGTCCCGGGGCCAGTGTCTTAGGGCATCATTTTGAAGGTGATCGTACCTCCTAACTTCATGTAACCTGCTCAGCAAGGGGTTTCCAGTGCACCCCTCACCCTGGTATACAGGTGTGTGAGATTTGCATCTGTGGCTGCTTCACACAGGCAGAGCTTTCCGGGGAAGGTATGTTTTCCAGTTCTTTCCTGTGCCAGTATTGCCGCCACCTGGAGATGAGAGGAATGAAGGGCACCCAGCCATTTCCTTACCTTCATCCCTCAGCCTCTTCTCAGCCACAAAGCACCTTCCTCTATTTCAGCTGGAGAGAAAGCTGGCAGCCTCCCAGCTCTTGCGGTTATGGTGTCCCAAGCGTACAGCCTGTTGTGCACCCTGCTCTGCGGAGGATGGGGCCCTTACGCTCTTGGTAAAAACACAGCTCCTGGGCACTGGGGGAGTCTTTGGCAAAAGGAAATAACCTCCACTCAGTGCACTCACAGTCCTCCACCTTCTAGAAAGAGCAACTTGCCCTGGGCTTTCCTGTCCTTTTTAGTTTGGAATTTAAGCTGCAGATCTGTGCGAATGAATACAGGCTTGTGTGTTCGGCAGAGCTGTAAAGGAGAAGGGATTTTTCCATGTATTTTATGGCACTGTCTGGGTACTGAGATGGGAGGGAGCTTATATGCTGCATGTGCACGTGCACATTTTCATGTTGTCTGCACGTGTGTGCATGCATGTGTGCATTTCCATATTGCGTCTAATAGGCTCTTTGTTTCTCCAGAGAAGAAGGAAAAGGAAATCCGCATGTAATGAATCCATTTATTTTATGGAGCTCCCCTGGAGAGGGGCCGGGGAGCACGATTTATGCAAAAAATCAGGCAGCTGCTGTTGGGAGGGGGACATCAATCTGGTTTTGATTTTCATTCGTAAGTGGAGGTGGCCACACAAGCCAAGGCCTCATAAACTCCCCATAGAGGAGAGCGGCCCGTTGGTGTGAGGCTGTCAGAGCCTATTTGGCCGTTAGTATCGAGCTGCTCTCCTCTGCATCCGACTAATTCCCGCCCTGTTGTTCTGCTTTCTTAGGATGTGTTTCCCCATGCTGAGGCCTCCCATTAGAAGAGAGAGGCAGAGCTGTACAAGGGGCACAGACTGAAATCTTTGTATTGAAGGGCAAAAAAGCCCTTTACAGAGCATTTGCAGTTTATACCACAATTCAGTGTATAATGTTAAAAAAAAACAACAAAAAGTAACATGACTTGTATGATACAGTCCAGTCCCTCTCTGCCGTTTATAAAAACAGAGGGAGTGAGATGGGATGGAAGAAATGGCCTGGAAACTATATACCACTTATCAGTCTTTTTTCCATCCCTGCCATTTTGCATAACTATTGTCAGGACTGTGAGTGCAAAGGGACAGTGGAGTGGTTCCTGGTGGGGGAGAGATGCCTTAATGGAGCAGAGCTCTTGACAGAATTCTGTTTTATTATCTGATTCTTCATAGATTAAGAGTCCATGGAGTTTATCCATCAATAGCATAAGAGAAAACTGCCCATAGCATACCATAACTCACTCTGTGACTGTCCCATATGACAAGTAAATTGCATTTGGCTTCCTAATGATCTCCCCCCACTGTCTGTGCATGGCATAGCTAACATGCAAAGAATCTAACTCAAAATCTAACTCAGGGTCTGTATTCTTCAACATAATCTTGTGCTTGTCCAGTAGAGGTAGGCAGGTAAGTGGATAGACATATATCAATTCAGGAAACCAAGAATGAAAACTAGTCTTTCCTGAAAACTGTCCTCACATGCTACTAGCAATTAATTACCGGACAAAGTTATTAATTTTTGTATTTTACTGGCTCTGTGTAATTTGGGTCCCTATAAAGTACATAAATTCTCTAGTTCTCAACATTGAATGATATTTTTAGATCCCTCAGATACATGTTGTCCTTTCAGAGAACAGACAACACTTGACTGTTGACACTGAACTTTAAAAGGCTTTTCCTTGGCAGAACTAAGGCCCAGTAGTGGGTCAGTGAGAAAAATTTGGAAGAAGAGGTGTGGTTCACTTACCACTCCCTAAAATGCCCAAACCACCTTGCAGAAAAGGATTCATTTTGAGAACTACAAAAAGGAAGCTGGCTCATTTGCATGTAACACATTTGTTGATTTTCCAGGTAGCCTTTCCGTGGCTTTTTGAGAACTTCATTTGGCACCAGCTTATAAGTCAAAGGTGTTTATGTTATGCTGCCAGCAATACAGCCCCTGGCATCACACTGCTTTTTCATCACCAAACATTCTGAACCTCCTGTTCCCAAGTATCTGGAAGGGGAAAAAAAAAGATGCCTTGAAGATATAAAGGCCAAGTATGCACTGATGTGAAATGCTGACTTTAGAGAAGCAGCCACAAGGAATGGGTTTTTTTTTCTGAAAACAGTGGGATCAGAGCCTCTCCCTGAATCCAAAGGTGGTACGTCAATTGGGCCATCAGTTTTCAGGCCAAAAGAAAGAGCTGCTTTTACAGGCCATACTGGAAAAACAGTCTTATCTGTGGAGGAATGGATCAGGTTACAGAGCTTCCACCAGCAGTAACTTTCAAGCATAAAGTTGGACCCATTTCACAATGTTGTTCTGAAAGAAACATAATTGCTTACTAAGTCTCAGAACTACTAACCCTATAGCAGAGACTAATAAAGATTAGCTGAAAGGCCTCAAATTTACAGGAAAATGCCATTGTCCACACTTGCCCCTTGAGAATCCGCAATTCAATGACTTTACTCTGAGAGACAAAACTGAGTTCCAACAACCAAAACGCTGTGCAAGACAGGTGAGTAGCTAAAAGTAAACAGATCACCTTAATGCTCTTCTGTTTTACATTTTTCTTCCTTGGATATAAACACAAGTGTCTTTAGTAGCATTGCAAAGGACATTTAGAATTAGAGAAACGTTGAACGGATCCATCTCTCTACCTTCTGCATGTTTGCACATCCACTTATTAAGTGCACATGTTTCAAGTCATTTTATGAACTGAATATCTTATGAAATCTTAGTTGAATGATACTGTACCTATCAAAGTTTTTGATAGTCCGTTTTTGATGGTCCGTTCAGCTACAACTTGTGCAACTCTTAATTTTAATGTGTTCCATCTTCATACAGACCTATAGGGAAGAGAGGCACAATTATACACCATAGCCAGTTAAGTCCCTGAGGAACTCAAAGACTAAGGCTTGTCCCACACTGCAAAGCTCATCCGGCCAAAGAGGACTGCTGATGTAACTGTGCCAGCAAAACCCCTCATGCAGATGTCTCCAAAGTGATGCACTCTATAGTGTCCTCATTTTTATCACTCAGTAAACAAGGAAATGGCCCTAGGCTGGGAAAAGGAGGCAGTAAACAATGCCCAGTCCAGCAGTAAGGCTTCTAGATATGCAGACCATATTCCCCCTAGGTGTCTCTGCCAATGTAGCTATGCTCCTATCATATGGTAATTAAGCTATTATTTCTCAAATAAAAACACACAGATCATAAGTAGATACTCTGTACTTCATGATGGCCAGCACACAAAAGCTCATTCTTGCTATTCTCTTGGAGTTTGACTTCTGCTTCTAAAAATGCGCCCTTAATTGCTCACAAGAAAAACGTGTTTGAAAAATCACCTCATGACTTGTCAAGGTCACACAGAAAGTCTGTGGCAAAGCAGAGAATTGAGCTGAGATCTGCATCTCCAGCTAGTCTCTTAAGAACATGGATCAGATGACACATGAGAAGCAGGACAGCCTGGAAGCACTCTGAGAAAATTTATGCCATCATCAGGATGTAACAACCCAGAAAACAGAATGCAAAATCATCCTGGGAGATAGGGTGAGCTACCTCAACTGATAGACACAAGGACATGCTCACATACGCTACTGCACAGCTAGAGACATGGCATGCCAAATATGCCAGACGATAGCACTACATACATTCGTGTGTCATGCTATGATATGACACCTCTTCTCCAAATAGACAGCTCTGAGGACAGTGAGAGAAAATAGTTTCCTGCAGTATTTCTGAAGATCAAGAGAAGCCTCCATACAACTGGACTGAAGACCACACAGTGGAATCAAGACAGCAGCTGTGAGCAGAGAAGGTTCCAGCCTGGCCTCTGGGCACCCACAAAAGGCATAATAACTTGTGATACTCCTTACGCAAAAGCTATAGGTCCATTGATGTCTGTTTGGAAAGAGTCTTAGTATACAATAAGGAAAGCTGGAAAAAAACTTAAAGAGACTAGTCTAGTTCAGCTGGTTGAGAACAAAGACTCTTCTAGCAGCAAATAATTCAGCATAGCCCTGACTCCTTCATCTAGGAAGTTATTTTCATCCAAGAACTCCTCACCAGGAATTACACCTTTTCAGCCAGCTCTCTGCAGTTCCTACTGACTTGGTCTAATGAAAGTGACTCCCAACCAATACTGGTTTAGTAAAGTTCTTACCAGATCAAAACTGACCTCAGCTGGCTCCTGTCATTTCCAAAAAGCTCCTGCTGATTTGGCTGACTAACTGAGCTCCGGGAAAATTGCATGTAAGCCCTGCATTTTCAGAGGGTAAATTCTCCCTTTCTGGAACACAAAAGAGAAAGGAACAAAGCCAACAGGAACAAACAGAGTCAATTTGTCTGGATGGAAATGTTTCCAGCAACCCCTGCTCTAGGGCTACTGACACTGAGCCGAGCAGCAAGACATCTTGGGCAGACCAGCATCCCATGCCACTTCACACAAACTTCCCCAGCCATTGGCCACTTTCTTTCTAGCTTTATTTGACTGCCCCACACCCGGACACCAGCACAACTTCATGCTGCAGCCACGTGCAGAGAGGACTATCCTTGCAAAGAGTCCTTTCATCTTGTGAAGGGCCAAAAGATAAGTCCCAAAGCAGACACTCAAAAGCACCCTGTACATTGGAGATGAGTCCAGCAGGACTTTCAGGCACTTTCCTTACCCCTCTCAAGCTCTTGGCAGAACTGAGATTCAAAATTATTACTTTGATTATAGGTTTACGGCTACTTTAGCATCTGACTTCCATACATGGCCCACCTGACAAAGCAGGCACACCTTCCCCAAATCCACGCCAGGCCCATAACATTAGCAGGCTGTGTGGGCTGCTCTGTCTCAGGGCTGTGGAGCCTGTCGCATTCCCCTCCAGCTGCATCGTCGGCAGCGTCATGCTGACAGGTTCAAGCCGTGCAGAGAGAGTTGTTTTTATAACCCACTTTCTTTTGATAAAACTTTCCCAAGCTTATTCCTCTACATTATAGTCAGGATCACCTGCTGCTCAGGGGGATTCAGATTCTTAAAGGAAAATGGAAAAAAAAAAAAAAAAGAAACCCAGTGAGGAAAAACTGACATATAATGGCATCCAAGGAAGGAGAAAGCACTTAGCACTAACCAGTTACTCCAAATACTGAGCTCTGCCAGCATCCCTCATTCCTGACTGGCAACTCCCTTTCTTTCTCTATTCTTCCCTGGTGTCACCACAACAATCTCTGCTGACCTGCAGCTCCCCTACTATTTCTGCTCTGGGACCACAACATATTGCCCAGGAGTTGTCTTTGAGCCTTGATCGATAGCCCCCAATGCAACAGTGACATGCTGGTCTGCTCACAAATTGAACACCACTCAGCTCTGTGATCCCACAACCCATCTCTGCTGCACACCTTGGCCTTTGCTTATGACATCCCAATTGTTCTTATCCCTCATTCACAGTACAGCTTCTTCTATGTACCTCAGACTCAATTCACCACCTTCTTTAGTCCATACAGACAGAAACCAGCACATGTGGAATATGTGAGTCGCTCTGTTGCAGCAGTCCCAAGGTCTCCACAGTTCAGTATTTTACCTCCTGAAAAAGCTACCAGACTAGACAGAGGAGGTTTTAAAATCCACTTAGTAGCCTGTCCACCATCCAAATTTGAACTGACATTAGTTTAAAAGCCTGAAACATCATGTTTATTCTGGCTTTCAGTTATGTTATTAATAACTACAGTGACTCTCCACATACTTGCCATTCACACACTGCCCAGTCAAGTAGACAGTAATACTACAAATGCACTGAGTAGTGCTGCTCAGATCTTTTCCTAAACTAGAAGAATTAAGTTAGAGCAATTCAAGACATCTGAGCAAATTAGTTTTCTCCCAGATCATGCTTTGTCTTCTGGCACTCTACAAGGAACTTCATTTGCCATGAAGCCTCCTCCTCAGTAAGTTTAGCTGGGTCTCTCTGAACTCTCCTCTAGTCTCGATCAACCTAAATTTGGCTAGTGCTCGCATACTAATATTTAAAGCTCCCGCAGTGCAAATGAAAAAAACATGCTATAAAAGGATTCAAAACAATACCATTTGTTTTTTGTTTTAAAATTTTGGTATTGAATTTCATGCTATTGAATCCACAGCCCTGGAGTCCAAAGTCCCATTCTTACTCAAAAAGAGCTGCACAGGCAAGACAAGATTCTTCACAGTGTGCTGGGGGATGGACTTCTACGTTCCCTAGAGAGTTTAGACTCTAAGGAATACTTAGTCCACAACTTTTTTGATTAAACTGTCAATGAGTGCAACAAAAGTCCAAAGCCTTTTCGAGACAGGGATATTCTCGACCACTAGGAACTGGACTACAAAAAAACCAATTTATTTCACACATGTACTGCCAAAGAGCTGTCAAATGAAAACAGCTTATTGTGAAATGTTTCTGTCATGAGAATGAATATTCATTCAAGAACAAAACAAAACCTACCAACCTCTCTGACTTTAAAAACAAAAAGCCCTTTGGCCAAGAGTTTCAAAGCTTTTCACCACCCTCAGTTGGCCCAAGATCCAGGATCCAACAAAGTTCAAGAGCTGCTGCCCAGTAGGACAGGGAATGAGATCCTAAATAGGTGTGGACCAGGTGTGAAAAAGTAGAAGGTTAACACACCCCATCCATCACTGGACAGCACATCTGTAAAAACGGAAATAAATATTAACTCAAGTCACAATCTTGTCTGGAGATGAGCAGAATTCTCCCCAGTGGCAACTACAGAATATCATGTGGTGAGGACTGCAGCTGAGCTGATTTACTGCTAAACTGTGCTTGTATGTTTGCAGGAGGTTCTCGTTCCCTTGCTGCTGAAGTGCTTTTCGTTAATACAAGAGACAAAGAGTCCTAGTGCTCTTCTGAATATCTCTCTGGTTCATTTTTCCAGTTGCAAAGCAAATGGTTTGAAGTTTCATTGTCTTGCCAGACTCATAAAAAGAAACTATCAAGCATTAGCCAAATTGTGAAGAACAGCATGTTTTATGAAAACCCAATTAAACTATGGTCATCAATATCACTTTCATCTTTGCTGAGTACTGCCTCAGCTTTCTTATTGCATGCCAAGCTCATGTTCTTCTCCGATTCACTCAGTGAGATTACAGTTAACAGTTTTGTTTTGCTGGGTTTTTGGGGGGGACACATACAAAAGCAGAGTCCTTCTTGTTTATATACTAGATCTGCAGGGTATCAGAAATAAGTGTCTTTGGGCTCAAGAAGGGATTTTATTTTCATGTCTCGGATATCAAAATGGGAATTGGTTGTCATTGTCACTCACACAAACAGACACAGAATGCCTTTCCCGGAAAGAACTGACAGAAATTAAATTACAAAAAGCACCACACTGCAATACACTTTGGAAATCCTCATCAGTGAAACAGCTCTTCGAGCTGCACAACATGACCCATGTAGATCCTATAGTCCAATGTACCAGGAGATTTGGAAAGTATAAAAAAAATACTACCATGTTCTTCTTTCCCCAAGGGAAATTCTTTTTTCCTTTATCTGTCTCTAAACAGATAAGGCATCCAGCCAGCTACGACTGATAGAGGAAGCCATAGGGAAACGCAAAAGTATATTGTGTTTTCACCTGATGGCAAGGAGGACAACACTATAGCTTTCCAGAAGCCTCCAAGCCTCTTCCAGGTCGATGATTAATAAAAGTAAAGAATTCACTAAAAATGTAGCACAAAAGACTGCAAAGCAGAAAGCACAGACAGTTAGGGATGAAGTAAAACTGATTTTAACAGACCAACAATCATCACTCCAGCCCACCTGATCTTTTTTCCCACACGCCAGTCCAGGAAGCAAGCTTGATGACGACTTAAACAAAA